TCTCTCTCTCTCTCTCTCTCTCTCTCTCTCTCTCTCTCTGTCTCTCTGACAGAAGTTGTGATATATTATATATTCAGTGTTCTAACTAAGAGAGAGGACACTTGAGCAGAAAGGTTCCAGAGTTCTGCCTGTTGTCTTCAGTTGGCTCTATCCAGTTGGGAGGACGGCCAGCCCCGAGGAGAAGCAGCGTAGACTTCTGACCTTTGTGAAGTTTAGAAGTCAGGTTGGTTCTTTTGCTCATCGACACTCCTTGATGGTTTTTACTTTGTCCGAATTATTGACAAAACAATTTGTTATTCGTAGAACAAGAATTGAGTCAATCAAAATTATTTTTAAAAATAAAAAAAATGTCCTAAATATTGTAGCAGCGGCAACAACAACAGCAGCAACATCAATACATACCACCAGCAGTAACAAAAAGAACAGCCACAACCATTAAGTAGCAGGCAATAGTTGAGAAAGGAGCGCAAACTCTTTCTTCTTTGTACGTCTATTTTGTGTGCGCACTTCAGGTCTGTCATTGTCATAAAAGTACTTGATCGTCACAGAAAAGAAAGCTAGTTTTTTTTTGTTTTGTTTATTTGTTTTTGTTTGTTCGTTTGTTTGTTGTTGTTGTTGTTGTTGTTGTTGTTGTTGTTGTTGTTGTTTTGTTTTTTTTGCTTTTTGCCATTTTCTGACTTCAAAAAAATAAAAACTTGGTCCGAGTTGTAGTCACACAATAGCCAATATTATTTCTTGGACAAGAAGGGAGTAAATAGGAAGAACACAATCCTTAATAATGCTGCTCCAGCAACAGCAACAACAAAATCATCACCATCAACAACAACACCAACAGCGACAACAACAACAACGGTAATAACAACACCAGCAATATCAGCAGCAGTAGCAACAACAGTAATAACAACATCAGCAATGTCAGCAGCAGCAACAACAACAAATAAACAAAAACAACAAAACAACAGCAACAACAACAACAACAACAACAACGGCCCTGGCATCTCTTAGGAGGGGAGGGGGGATCCAGGGAGGTTGGACTGCCTCACACGCTACCCAAGAGAGGTGGTGGCCCTGGCGAGGAGCACGCTCTTCGGGGCTCCAGACATTTCGAACGGATAGGCTACCACACACACACACAACAACAACAACAACAACAACAACAACAACAACAACAACAACAACAACAACATCATCAAAAGGAGCAGCAGCAGCAACAGCCACACCCATTATAATATGCTCATCTTCGTCGCTCTCCTATTATTTCATTTACGAACCTTTGCAGTATAAGACAACTTTATTTGACAGAAAAAAGCAAGAACAAGAAGCGAAGCAAAACAATTTATTCTCTCTTGCCCCCTCCCTAGCCAAGGCAGGGTCAAAGAAATCCGCCTCATATAATATTATCTGTTGTCCTAACTGTGTCGTGCGGAGGAAAGGGGGAGGGGGGAGGGAGGGGGGAAGCATAATGAATTACGTATTATATCACTGAAAATTGCCCATACGACCCAAATGTAAAAAAATAAACCTTGAGGTATTTGAACAGCACTCATCGGCACTGTAGTCATTAAATTAAAGCCTCAAGTTTAAGTTTCATTTCAATATCTTTAAAACTGATTTTCATCTCTTGCAGATTCGGCAAAGCTCTACTTGAGCTACAAGAGCTACAAGACCTACAAAATCCTAAACCAACGTCTTCCAACCTTTTCAAATTAATCGTCAAAGAGAGACTGACCATTGGTCACCATGAGCCAGAACGGACACAGCAGAGACAAGCCTGTCTACCACTTCAGTGGCGACGCAGTGGGCAGCCAGACTGTCCTCACCCCAGAGAAGATAAGGTCAGTTCTCTTACTTACTTACTTGTCTTATTTGTCCACTGTGTTGGGGTCACTGCAGTCGGAAAATTTCCATCTCTGCTCCCCCCCCCCTCCCCGTCTTCAGGATCCATCCCTGAGTGTCCGTTCTCTTACTGTTGTTTAGTGGTCGCTGCAGTGTTCGGTTTTGCACCGATTTCAACACTGTTGAATTATCCCTGACCTGCAATTTCCTGTATACCCCCTCGCCAAAAAAAATGAATGAATGAATGAAAGAAAGAATGAATGAATGAATGAATGAATGAATGAATGAATGAATGAATGAATGAATGAATTTTCAAAATGTTACGGAAGCAAAAAGATTTTAAAGCTAAAATAAATTGATCAATAAAAAATTGTGCTGGCACGTACCAAGTCAGATTAAAACTATGATACCTCTTTCTGGATTGAGTTATGTTCTACTGCTGCGAACTTGGACCAGGATCGCCCGCATTACAGTTGAACATGTCTAAACTGAGCCCAGTTGAGTTGCACGTGAAGAAATTTTTTAAAATTTAAAATTGTTAAAACGAGCGGAACATTAACGAGCACTATATATGTCTACATCATATTAAGTCGCACTTCTTGAATTGTCCTTTGTTGAAATATTTAAAAAATTGCAGTTTGCACTGTATGCTTCCCAATAAGTTGAGAATGTTTCAGAATGCTTTAGGTCTGCTGGGGTAATGACATAGATTGTAAAGCGCATTAAGCTTGCTGTTGAGTGGGAATTTGCACTTTACAACACATTTTTAATGCCATCTATTATTAAAATCTGCTTTAATTCAAGACTGTCAAATCAAGGGTAACACATTTAGCTCAGGTAGTATTATACTGAACTACAATGCAAACGACCCTGGTTCGAATGTATATTGATTGGCGCGTATTTTACTTGGTTTTGTTTGAGCAGATTTTGTTGGTACTCCACTCGCTTAGATCTAACCCATTAATGCAAGACCTCTCAAAATTTGATAACACTTGGACACAACATACCTTTGAGAACCAAAAGAAAGGATTCAGGTTGCTTTTGTGTCAATTCAAAAAATTCTTTACTTTTGATGCCGTCGAAAGGTTGGTCAAATAATGGAACGCTATAATTGACGAGCGGGTGCTTGTTTTTTTTTTAGGGCTTTGCAATAAGCAGTAATATACTTTTAACTAGTTAAAATTTCGACATAAATGAAAAGTAAGGTGGTGGAAAATACCGTTTATTGTATTTAGACACCATAACAAAGCACACAATGTGTACTTGTTGCGAAAATGAACAATTTACTGTAAAAATGCGTGTTTTAAAACAAGTACTCCTACAACGAAGACGTTTTTTCCTTCAGCTCTACCGAGTGCTTTGTCTTGCTTCTTGTTTTAGTTTATTTCACAGCTTCTTTAGGCTTTCCTCCTCTTCTGTTGATGCAGTTTTTAGCATTTTTAATTTTTTAATTTACATTTCAAAGTGTCTCTGTCTGTTTCTGAGGTTTTTCCCTCTGTCTTTGTCGCCTGTTGTTCAGAGGAGTTTGCTTTACTTTGCCATGCTATTCTACAAATCAAAGTGCTCTTTACACATGGTATAGGCAATATCCTAAATACCCCCAGACACTGATCGCAATTGCTGTTTCCCAGCTCTGCCTGCAGTGCTCGAATGCTGGCAACTGTAAGGTTTTGCCAGAGTTTTTCTTCTAGTTAACTGAAGGAAAGTGATTCTGGGCCATCTGGCTTGTGACACCCCTCCGTCGTCTTCAACAGTCTGGATCTCCATAACTCTGTGGACTTGGTTTTCCGATGGGAATATAATGCTGCTGTTGAGAGTTTGGTTGGGTGACACAACCCATCTTTGTTCCGTGAATCTTCATACCTCTCTGACTAAGAACTGAAAATCCGCCGGTTGGTATATGGGTAGTCCATACGCTTTTCCGGACTCTGTATTCCGATTCTATACCTGGTGGGCACCCACGAGATTATCATCAACATCCCCTCCTCCTTTTTTTTTCGGTGAATCTCAGGAACATGTTCTTTCATGGTTCTTTGTAGCTATGTTATAATGGACTAGAGTTTCTGGCCAAACTGTTACGTCGTTGTCAGCATTACCACTAAATTAATTTCATTTACTGAAGACTGTATTGGGAAGGTATATGGGGAATACTGCTGGATACGAGAGAAATACATTATCACATTATCAATCAAACTGCCTTGATCTACCGAAGAGTATCAAGGGATAATACGATTTTGTTCTCTCAATTGCAATTTATTAAACAAAAGCTTTTGAAATTCATTTCTTTAAAAGAAACAATGGCTGAAGGGACATGCTATAAAGACTCATAACTAGAATAATATAGGCCTATCAGAACTCCCAAACACCCAACAGCTGGTTCACATTCAATTTCTTAATACCATGCATGATCAGGCTGCAGAAAATCGAGCGAAAAACTATCTACATTTCTCCGTCACATTACAACAGACAGAAACCCCAAATTTTGCTCCAAATAATAGCCACAGTGAGACTCAAAGGTCAAATCTCACCCCGGGGAAAAAAACAAAACCACGCACCCTCTCGTGCATAGCGTTCCATTATTGGATCATACTTTCAGAAGTTAAAAGAGTGAAGAAATTTTATAAATAGCCTTGAGCAAGATACTGAACCTCCTAAATAGAAGATAATCTATCGTTATTATCATAAAAATTAACAAAAATAAATCTGTATGCAAAATTATAATAACTTTCATGAGTCTGGTTTTCTTGTGCTGGCAAGGGTGTTTCGCTTGCGGCCGCCAACTTGAGAAAAGGTGTATAACTCTGTAAAATGATACATTTCTTTCAAAGCAGATACAGTATGCCTTTGTTTATTACTGAAAACCTGTGTTTCAATATTGTATCGCTTTTACAGTGAAGGTAAAATGACATGATTCATTAATGGAACCCTATGCAGGAATGGGTCATCATATTAGAGATGGACAAGAATCAAAGGCTCTGATTTCTATATTTTAAATCTTTAAATTATGGTATATTTTAAAAGTTGTGTTTAAAAAAAATTGTCTTCATTTTTCTGTACCTGCTTTCTTTTACTACGCTGTAACGAAGACTTTTCGGTCGGAGAAAGAGTATACTAAATTTTCTGTCTGAAAAAACTGAAGAGCAAAGGATTGGCATATGAGAATTTTATTTTGCTTAAAGACATAACAAATGCATGCATAATTTTATGACCCCCACCCTTCTATCTAGAAACTCCTTCCCACGTTCCTCGTCCATCCCCTGCGGTTTCATATTGCAAGGGACATAACTATGAAAACCCTGGAAGCAGACATAATTACAACTATTGCGTCCCCTGAAAACTTAAACGTTTATTTTTAAAATTCCTTCCCTTGTTCCGGATCATGATTCATTGTCTTATTTTTACCGAACATTCACGAGGCACACACGTAAGCATAGACACACATCCCATCAACACACTAGCAAGCAAGCAAAGAACAAGTCATATGTACAAGCATGCATTCATGCCCAACCCTGCATGGAACATGCAGGATTTAATTGTATACAGGCATAGTATGAACACATAATAAAAACAGAAGAAGATCAGAATCTATCTATCTATCTATCTATCTATCTATCTATCTATCTATCTATCTATCCATCATGCTCTCTATCCTCCCATCCATTCATCCATCCATCCATCCATCCATCCATCCATCCATCCATCCATCCATCCATCCATCCATTTTTTGTTTGTTACTACCCATCTGACATGAACGCATCTTCATAAAATGTGTAGAATTTAAAAGTCTACCAACAGAGTAACACGGCTTACAGTACTGTTATGGACCATTAATACAGCAAATCATGCGGAGCTAAATTCTACTTAATTTGGGCATTTCAGATTCTTGCAAGTGCAAGTATATTCCATGCACAGCGAAAACAGAGTAAGAAAGAAATTATAAAACAAACAAACAAAAACCATTACTTACACTAATCTGTGCACTGTATAGAATCAAGTGTTATTTTTTCTTTGTTTTCACTCGTGGTTTGTTGTTTGCTTTTCTATTTCGTGCGTGTGTGTGTGAGGGGGGGGGGGGGGGTTGTGTGTAGATGATAAATGAAAGTAATTAGAAAAAAACAAACAAACAAAAACAAACAAACCCAACCAACCCCCTCCCCCCCCCGGCTAAAAAGCACACACCCCCCCCCCCCCCCCCCCACACACACACATAAACAACAAACAGACAAAAACGACAAGCCAACAAAAAAACCCCCAAAACAACAACTACAAAAAACAACCAGGTTTAATGTCTCCAAATGACGGATGGTATGTAAGGAAGACCACCCCTGATATCACGTCGGACTCCATTACCATGCTCGAATAAATGTATTATCTTGCCAGCCTATTTAATCGATTAGTGATATTTTATTTGTTTTCATCATATTGATTTTTTTCGAAACCATTGTACAGTGCCCCGGAGTCCTTTTTCAGAAAGACAATAGCATGGATTTCTGGTTTCATTATTAAAATGTTTACTGATTTTATTGCATGGTTCGTTGTGTAATGATACAATCATAATATCACCTATCCCCCTTTCCACCCGAAACTCCTCTATCTTATTTCAGGTCCAGGTCACAGTTGAATGTTGATTCATTATTTAATTATAAAAGCGAGCAATCTTTACCACTTTTCTTTTTCTGTCTGAAACTTTGTACCCAATTATTTCCCGGCGTGTATGTGTACATTAGTCAGTCTTTTTATCGCCCGTTCATCGTGGTCATAATCAATACCAAAACTCTTGTTCTAGATACAATGAATGAATCTTTTGTCATAAGATTTGTCACTTGTTTTCAAAACCTCACGTACTTAACGCATTCCTAAGCTCTTTGAGTTGTCAACCCGCCTCATCTGTGTCTCTTTCCCTCTGTCTCATTCTCTCCCCCCCCTCTCTCTCTCTTTCTCTTTTTCTTTTTCTGGCAGGTGTTTTTATGGTGCTCGCAACTACATAAGGTAATATGAGCGTGCAGGACAGTTTAACATTTTCAGTTGATAGAAAATGTTGAATTTTGGCCGGGTAGTGACCAAAACCTACTCTTATCGATTTTGGACCACCAAGGGATCTTTAACGTGTGCAACTAGCACACGCGACTCCGAGATTTTTGGCCGTTATCCGAACAGGCTAGGTGTACACCTTACCTACCATAAGATCACGGGTGTGGCTGAAAGACAGCAGTACAAAGGAGCCAAGAAGTAGCAGTAGAAAGGCTGCATAAAGCGTCAGGAGCCCAGAGGAGGAAGTCAAAGGAGGCCAGGGGGTGGGGCAGAAAGCAGACAACAGAACATTGTTAGAAAGCAGGAAAGAATGTGAAAGGAGAAAAATTTAGAGCAGAAGTTTTCCGTCGCCATCCAGATTTGAATCCAGGACCTTTAAATTAGAGGCGAACACTTTAACATCTAGACAACGAGAACCCCCCCCCACCCCCTTCCTCTCTCTCTCTCTCTCTCTCTCTCTCTCTCTCTCTCTCTCTCTCTCTCTCTCTCTCTCTCTCTCTCTCTCTCTCTTTCTCTCTGTCTCTTTGTATATATATTCAACAATAATAATAATAATAGTAATAATAATAATAATAATAATAATAATAATAATAATAATAATAGTAATAACAGAATAATAATAATAGTAGAAGAAGAAGAAGAAGAAGAAGAAGAAGAAGAAGAAGAAGAAGAAGAAGAAGAAGAAGAAGAAGAAGAAGAAGAAGAAGAAGAAGAAGAAGAAGAAGAAGAGGAAGAGGAAGAGGAAGAGGAGAAAGAGAAAGAGGAAGAGGAAGAGGAAGAGGAAGAGGAAGAAGAAGAAGAAGAAGAAGAAGAAGAAGAAGAAGAAGAAGAAGAAGAAGAAGAAGAAGAAGAAGAAGAAGAAAAAGAAGACGAAGAAGACGAAGAAGACGAAGAAGACGAAGAGGAAGAAGAGGAAGAAGAGGAAGAAGAGGAAGAAAAAGTAGAAAAAATTTCGTTTAATTAGCGAATTTTCACTAACAAAGTGTCCAGTGTACTTTACAATGGTACAAAGGACGCCCGCACCGTACGGGTTCCGATAGTTATACTTACTTACCATCTCTCACTCTTCCCTCCCCCTCCCCCCCCCTCTGTTGTCTGTCTGTCTGTCTGTCTCTCTCTCTCTCTATCTATCTCTCCCTCCCCCTCTCTCTCTCTCTCTCTCTGTCTCTCTGTCTCTCTGTCTCTATGTCTCTATGTCTCTCTCTGTCTCTACCTCCCTTTCTCTCTCAGTTTCTCTCTTTCTCAGTCTTTTCTTTCTCTCCACGAGCGCTCCCATCCCTCTTTGACGTCCCAGCCAATCTGTCTGCCTGTCTGTCGTTCCCTTTGTTAGTCTACCAGCATGGGCATATAACTGTCTGACTTTCTCTTTGTAAGTGTACCAGCATCTGTCTGTGTGGAAATCTCCCCCGCGCTCCGGAAGACAGGACCAATCAGTAAGAGAGAGGGAGAGGGGTGCATACACGGGAAGTACTTTCAAGACATATGTCATACCTGTCCCTTCCCTTCAGTATGAGCCGTAATTCTGTGTTCCGGCAGACATTAGAATTTCTGTATTATAAAACCCACCAAGGATTCCCCATTGCCAGCATATTCATTTAATTAGGTATCACATGTATTTATTGAGATGCTTTGAAGTGATTATGAAAAAAGAACTCCAATTGTTCCTTTAGGGATAATATTTATTGTTTGTTAGTGCGCAAACACAGTGCATTCGCCTTCCCTACCTTTTTAGGGGGTATCAGCCTCGCCCCCCTTTTTTGGGTGAATGTTGTTTTTAATCAACAACAAAATGCATAACGCGCGCTACAGTGGGTTCGCCTTTCCACCCTTTCGCTTCACTCCCCCATACTGAAAAAAAAGTGAGGTCTGCCCTTAAATTTTATCTGCCTTCATCCGCTTCGTTAGTTGCTACTGTGTACGTAGTGATGTTGTTAGGTGTTGTCTGGTATCATTTTTAGAAAATTTGTTGTTTTTGTTTTACGTAAGGTTCAATGTTATCAAGGAGAAGCCGGTGCAACAGCTTTCATTTTCAGATAAGATTTATTTTTAAAATCGTCATTTTTAAGACCAATATCCACTAAATGATGATATTTGCAAAAAGCAAATGATTCTATGAACCCAATATCAACGTGAAAGTTGACATCGTCGTTTTAACTATAATGCAGCAACATCAGCTTTACAGAGCAATAAGAAAATGAAGAGGGGAGGGGGGCGAATCCACTCTGTCGATTCAGGTCCCTTCCCATTCGCTTCCCTTTCCTTGTAAAAGCTGTAATAGCATACTGAAGAGCATGGACGTGTGCTGTAAAGTGCAATTATCATTATTATCATTATTATTATTATTATTATTATTATTATTATTATTATTATTATTATTATTACGAGGTTCGTTCAAAAAGTTTTGCCTCCAACTTCATAATTTCTTTATTACTGGTGCTACATACAGAAGTTATACACCAAATGAAAGCTTAGAATGTGTGCTACATGACAGTACCTTTACTTTTCAACATAGTTGCCTTCTTTGTCGATGCAGATCCGCCAACGTCGAATATGTTGCCGCATGCTGTCGGCGAAGAATTCATGTTGTTTTCCTCTGAACCAACGACGCACATCTTCTTGAACTTCATCGTCATCTGCATAACGTTTTCGTTTGAGGTACTCCTTCAACTTAGGAAAAAGATTAAAGTCAGATGGAGCAAGGTCTGGACTGTATGATGGATGCGGTAAGGTCTCTTGAAATCTGAGACTTTCCTTGGCATCTTGAGTTTGTCAACTCGTGTGTGGACGGGCGTTGTCGTGGTGCAAAATTGCATTTTTTCCAGGCCGAACTCGTGACAGCCGTGCTCTAAGTTTTCTCAGGGCCTCAATGTATCGTTCAGAGTTGACAGTGGAACCCTGTTCTAAAAATTCCATATGAATCAGATGGTTGCAGTCCCAAAACACCCTCATGAGCACTTTCTTGGCAGATGAAACAACTTTGAACTTCTTGGAGCTAGATGAGCCAGTGTGCCTGTATTCTTTCTATTGTCTTTTGTTCTCTGGGTCATAATGGTGTACCCAAGTCTCGTCTCCTGTGACTATTCGGCGTAAGAAAGCTTCACCTTCATCAGTTTAACGAGCCAGGAGTTCATCGCTTACTTGACTTCGGTTCAATTTCAGCTCCGGTGACAACATGTAGGGAACCCACCGTGCACACACTTTCCTATAACCCAACACATCATGGATAATATACTGAGCACTCCCTACAGAAATCTCTAGCATTTCATTGACATCTCTTACTTTAATCAGCCGGTTTGCTTGGATGATCTCATCCAACCTCTCCTGGTGTTGAACATCACTGGCAGAGTTGGGACGACCATAACGAACTTGGTCATACAAATCTGTCTCTGCTGGACTGGTTTCAGCGAACTCCTTTGCCCGTCTTCGAACACTACTTACATTTACACATGCTTCGCCCTAGATAAGCGTCATTCGCCTTTGAATATCAATAGGTGCTGCTCCCTCTGCAGTAAGGAACTCAGTAACAGCTCTTTGCTTTCAGCGCACATTCATAGGTTTGCTGGACGCCATTTTCTCGACGACAATGTACTCTAGCTTCTATAATGTAAACAGCAATAGCATAAAGGTGTGACATAATAGCATAATTTGTTTGTTTTTTTGGGGTTTGAGAGTATACATGTTGAAAGTCAATTGTGTACAAATTTCATGAAGATATCTAGAATAGTTTAGAAGTTATTGGAGAGGACGCAAAACTTTTTGAACAACCCTTGTATTATTATATTATTATTATTATTATTATTTTCAAACTCACGGTCAGCTCGGCGACAAGCAGCAAAACATCTGGTCGGTTGATCACCTTCTCGGTCCCTTTGCTCTTTACTTTATTCTGCGGTCTCTTTTACACCTCCTCTGAGCCCCCCCCCCTCCCCCCCCCCACACAAGCCAATGCAAGTTTTCCACATTTATTTCGTCCCCCCCCCCCCCAACCACCAGGAGGCCGTCACATTTCCTGGCCCTTTTCCCGCTCCGTTTCCCGCGTGTTGTCGTCTGCGCCCTGCTTCCTGCAGCGGATTTAGCGTACAATTGTTGTTGTGCTGGAAACGAGACACAAAAAATGTTGGCGTACTATTTCCTTTCTTTTGGACTTGCCTGGATTGTTATTTCAACCTTGTCTGAACTCGACCAGGATACGTACTTCGGCTGGCCTGACGTAAAACCGGAGACAGCTACGCAGATTGTATAATTTTACAGACAATAACAGCACATTATAATATTTTGGGACCACTATAGTAATAATGATATAGGTTCTCATATTTTTCTAACAGATCTCGTTTCCGAAGTCACAAAAGCGAGGGGATTTTCGCCACTCTGCGAGCAAAAGAAAAACTAAGGGTGCTATATTTTCTTTTCTTTTCTGTTTTATTTTTAAATGAAGGTGTATTACACCCGATTCATATCTTTTTAGGAGACGAGCTTTGACCCTGTTTGTCAGACCAACCAGGTATGAGAGGGATATAACGCCCCAGAAAAAATACGGAAATACTCCACAAAAATTCTTACCACTCGGAAATCGAACTCAGGTATCCCGTGTTTGACGGCAAAGTGCCTTGCCACTACACCACTTACACTGGTCTACATTATTCGGTACGTCAAATTATAAATGGTTAATACATAAGAAATAGATAAGAAGAGAAGTAGAATAGATAATTGCGATACCTGAAAAAAGATGAAAACTGTATCAAAAGAAAAAAAAAAGAAAATAGTACTGCTTAGTAGAGAGATTAATGCTTCGTCTGTCATAAGACGGATTATCTAAAACGGAAAACAAACGCAAAATAAAAAAGAAAAAAAAGGGGTGGAGGCTCAGATTGGTTAATAATGTTGATGACAACGAAACCAATAAACCTGTTGCCATTTTTGTGACTAGCCTTTTAATATTGGCTTATACCATTTATGTGTACTGTTCCACGCTAATTTTTCTTAATACCTACTTGGTGGCGTTGGTTGTCTAGTGACATGTTATATGGACTACCAGACTCATGATCGTAAGATTGCGGGTTCGAAGGGTCGACGTTGTGTGTTGGGAACACCATTTTCTTCGAATTTTAGTATTTACTTGACTCGGTCCTATAGGAGATGGATATTGAATTCGGAGGTCCAGCCTCTTAAATTTTAAAGACTGGCAGTGTTGCAAGGGGCGTTGACAAGCATATTACTTCTCAATTGTTCATTGGTTCTTATATAAGAAAAAAAGACTTTTTTTCAAACGGTGAGCAAGAAAGCAACTATCATTTGAATTCATTAAAGTAAAGTAAAAAAAAAAAACCCACCTTCACCACAGGAAAAAACCAAAAACCAACAAATAAAACTGACAAGACTCAAGATCAGCCTCAAGACCCTGAAAAACGAACACGACTTGGGTGGCAAAGTTTCAAACCACGAACTGTCTGGTACGCCGTCTTGAAGCACAGCGGGAATCTGAACGTCACAAAACATCGGTGGTTTACCTTGACTATTTGTTCTCTCAAGCACTGCCGTACAGCGTAACGACAATGGCGATATAAAGCTTGCTGATTTTGACAACTGTGGCACTTTCAAGGGAACAATATAAAACAGGCAACACGCATTTACAC